TCGTCAGAGGACCTCGCGTCTCGGGGAGGGCTCCAGGGATGGGGGGAAGGAGGAGGGAAGAATGGAAGGAGGAGGTGGTAGAGGAGAGACGAAAAACATTCAACCGAAGCCAACGATGAGGATGGATGCTGTTGGATGGCTGTTGTCCCCCGTTCGGGGGGCCGCCAAGATGGGGTACTCCCCGGACTCCCAGGGCGCATTATGACAACGACGAGGGCCTCCCAGAAGACCCCAAAAAGGGAAAACGAGGGAAAGGTAGAAGTACAGCAGGAGCTCGACCACAAGAAAACGTCCGCAAGAAACCCAACCCTGAGACCCCAAGACGTCCACTGATTTTTGGTGTGGGATCTTCACGCTTGCCGTCGGAAAAAACATCGAAACCCAAGAAACCGCGGGCACCCTGGCATTTGGCATGGGCTTCCACTGTATGGGTACCTTGTCCTTCTCTGACACAAGGCCCCTTGTTCGCCACGGACAGCTGGATCCGCCTCGACGCCCTGGTCAAAACGGGCCCCCCGGAGTGGGCCAGGGACCCCTTTTCGGAGGAGGATGAGGAGGAGGAGGAGGAGGCAGATCCGAGCGTCGCACTCAACAATTGACAGCGGGGGCTGCTGTTCAACACGTTCGGACTCTGGTGGCAATTCTCCGGCACCAGGGCCGGCAACAAAACAGCTCAGGATGAAGAACTGACCCTGGGGGCTCCCGTCATGACCAAACATTCGACGGGCTCGTCCTGGTCCTCGGGTGTCGTTCCCTCCTCTGTGCTCTCCCGAGTCGTCGACCTGGGGGGCCTTTGGCAGGTGGTGTGTGCATGCACAGATGTCTGACATCCCCTGCTCATGGCATGAGGGAGCGCACAGGGTGCCTGTCCTTGCCCCTGCCGCCTCGTCGTTCGGTCCCCCCTCTGCGCTCGTGCTGTCGTCGTCGTCGTCCGAATCTCGTGGGCTGGTGCGGGGCCATCCCTGAGCCGACGCCAGGCCGATGAGAATCAATGTCCACGTCTGTGTTTGCTGTGCTGGGATCTGGGATCCGGCTTGGGAGACGTCAAGGCCGAGCAGCCGTGGGCCCTCGCGCACAGATTCGCACACGCGTGCCGCCCGGCACCAGGCGCGAGGTCGCGGGCCCCTCCCGTGGGGGTGACCCCACGGAGGTCGCTGCACCCTCAGACCTCTGTCGTCGTGCATGCGCGCGAGAGAATGCGACGTCGGAGGTGCGAGGGGCGACGAGGGGAGGGAGGAGAGCAGGGACGGAGAGGAGGGGAGGAGGGAAAAGGAGGGGTTGGAGAAGAGGAAGAGGACCTCCAACTCTTCTTCACCCCTCCTCGCTCCCACCCTCGCTCCCTGCATCTCTCAAACCGTATCTCTCCCCCTCCTCCCCCCCTCACCCCTCCAATCATCCCTCCCTCCATGTCCCTATTCATGACTTCCTGTTCCATCTCCTCCCTTGGGTCCAGATGGGAGCCAACAATATCTCACATGACTAACTAGACGTACTGCCATGCCGCGCAGTCAAGCCACAGGAAGCGGAGCCCAGTCTCAACAAGCGCTTCGGGGGTCGCGGCTAGATGAAGAGAAGGGAAGGAGCAGAACAAAGCCATGTACGACGACGACACCATCGAAAGCCGACCTAAGCGAGAGCGAAACCGAAACCGTTCGAAACCGACAAGCCGCAAACAACCTGGAAGGGTGCAACCACGCAGCACAGACGCGAAAACCGTGCATGGCTATTTCAACCGTTCCGACCAGACACGTAGCCTGATGGAAGTCTCGGGGGGGCAACCGCACGTTGAGAAAGGGGATCCTGCATCCGCAGGCCCCGAAGGCTAGGGAGGGCCCCGGGAGCAAGACAGCGGCGAAACACCCCGAGGGCCCGCTTCTCCCAGGGCCAGCCCACGGAGACTACCCCGCGTGCTGGCGTCAGGCCTCGTCTGCATCTGGAAGTACGTGGTCTTGGTACCCTGCGGGCAGCGGGGTGCCGCCGCCGGCAGGGAGGGCAGGCCCGCGGCAGGGGCGACGAGGCGAGGGCGGAGGGGGAGGGGGGGGGGGGGGGCAGAAGCACGCGGCTCCTTGCAGAGCGGCCCGCGAGGGCCAGGGCCCCAAACCATGCCCTGCGGGGAGGCAGACCAGAACACCTTCTTCTTCCTCCTCTCCTCCTCCCCCCCTCTCCTCCTCCTCCTCCTCCTCCCCTCCTCTCCTCCTGCTCCTCCTCCCCTCTCTGCTCCTCCTCCTCCTCCTCCTTCCTCTCCTCCTCCTCCCTCCTCCTCATCTCTCCTCCTCCTCCTCTCCCTCCTCCTCATCATCCTCCTCATCCTCATCCTCATCCTCATCCTCATCCTCATCATCCTCATCCATCCTCATCCTCATCCTCATCCTCATCCTCATCCTCATCCTCATCCTCATCATCCTCATCCTCATCCTCATCCTCATCCTCATCCTCATCCTCATCCTCCCTCATCCTCATCCTCATCATCCTCATCATCATCATCCCATCATCATCATCATCATCAGCATCATCATCATCATCCCATCACTCCTCCTCCTCCATCATCATCATCATCCTCATCCTCATCCTCATCCTCATCCTCATCCGCCTCCTCATTTCCTCCTCCACCTCCTCCTCCTCCTCCTTGTTCTCGTCCTATCCTCCTCCTCCTCCCCTCCTCCTCCTCCTCCTCCTCCTCCTCCCTCCTCTCATCATCATCATCATATCATCATCATCATCCATCATCATCATCATCATCATCATCATCATCATCATCATCATCATCATCATCATCATCATCATCATCATCCCATCCTCATCCCCCTCCTCCTCCTCCTCCTCCTCCTCTCCTCCTCCTCCTCCTCCTCCTCCTCCTCCTCCTCCTCCTCCCAACGACGGGCAAAACTGACCCCATTCCGCACTCGTGCCGCCCACTGCGCACAGTCCAGCGCTCGGCTCTTCCATCCGACGGCTGCCCGGGACCAAACCAGTCTCCGAGGCAGAGGCATCAGAGGGAGGATGCCTTGGATTATGCCGTGTGCCTCTGACCACTCTCCTGCAGTCGCCGCGCGGCCAGAAGGAACGCCCCGAAGAAGGAACGAAGGGTCGCAGTGGGAAGAGGAGGAGGAGGAGGACGACGACGACGACGAGGAGGAGGGGGAGGAGGGGGAGCAGGAGGAGATGGAGGAGAAGGAGGAGGAGGAGGAGGAGGCGGAGGGGGAGGAGGAGGAGGAGGAGGAGGAGAGGAGGAGGAGGAGGAGGAGGAGGACCAGGAGGAGGAGGAGGAGGAGGAGGACGAGGAAGAGGGGGAGGGGGAGGGGGAGGAGGAGGGGGAGGGGGAGGGGGGGAGGAGGAGGAGAGGGAGGAGGAGGAGGAGGAGGAGGAGGAGGATGAGGAGGAGGAGGAGGAGAAGGAGGAGAAGGAGGAGGTTGAGGCAAGAGAGCCCCATTGTGGCTCCAAAACGCCTCAAGCACGATACGGGAGGGCCACACGTTGGCAGTTTCGGGCAGTGCTGCGTGGGCAGCCCCCCCCCGCCCTTCTTCTTGTCTGACCAAGAATCCCCCCGTCTGCGCTTCAATGAGGATACTCCGACTCCGGTATCAAGAAAAGACGCCTGGAAATCTCTTCTGGATGGGCTGCCGAGATTAAGCAGGTCGGGCATGTCCTCTTACAGGCGGATGTTCGAGGAAAGATTTGAAATAGTCAAAAAGTGCCCCGAACTAATCCACAAATCATCAAAAAATGGTCCCCAGTCTGTTGTTTTACTATTTTTGAATACTCCTCCTGTAGAGGGACACGCCCGACTTCAGACTACGCGAAGCGTCAAAAGATGGGACCAAGACGGCCGAGCATGGCTTCAAGACGGCATGAAGAAGCCCCAATAAGTCCCATGAGGGCCCCCAGTAGGACCCCCAGCACGGCCAGAAGGAGCCGAAACCATGTACTTTGCTGACGTATTCCAACATCCTTCAGCTCCAGATATCTGGCCCCAAGACGGCCCTAAGATGGCCCGAAAGGGCCACTTCAAGAGAGCCCAAAGATGGCACAAGAGGGCATCGGGGCGGACCAAAAACCGCGTGAAAGGGCTGTTCGACTGCCCCCGACGGCCCCCAGACAGCCCCACGACAGGCACAAGAGACCCCAGACGGCCAAGAGGGCCCCAGAGAGGCCCAAGAGAGCTCCAAAACGGCCCAACAGGACCCCAAGACAACCCAAAGTGGCCGAAGGGACGCCCAAAACTGGCCCACAGTATCCTGAGAAAGGGCGGATGAAAGGGAGGAAGACGACGAAGACGCGACGCGAAGAGAATCCTCGACATGACGAAGGAACGAGCGTCACATGATCTGGCTCTCCCGTGACGACCAGTCAGCTGGATGGCTCATCTCCCTCACCCCCCTCTTCCGCCTGACCCTCTTCCTCCCCCTGCTCATCCTGTGACCCCTGTCTCCCTCTAACTCCGCCTCTCGATGAGCATGTGTGCCTGAGGCCGTTTGAAAATCAGCTGGCCGATCTGTCCAATTTTGCTGGTCAGGGCGTCCGCGCTCAGTTCGTCCTCCCTACCATTCCCCTCCCCCTGCCTTCTCCTCCTCCTCCTCCTCCGCCTCCTCCTCATCATCATCCTCCTCCTCGTCCTCCTCCTCCTCCGCGCGATCTCCTTCTCCTGGCGGCGCCTCTGGCGCCGCCCCTGGCGCGTTCCGCGCGCCAGGGAGGGGGGTCCAACGCCGATCCGATATATCCTCGCGGACCTCTGAAATGTTATGTTTATGTCATTGTTTGCTCCCCTACTAGTGGGCCCCCCTCGGCGAACCATGGGCGATCAGGGGTCGGCACATCCCCCCCGTTACCCAATCCCCCGTGACGCTGCCCCTGACCGTCATCCTGCATCGCTTCCTCCTCGTTGCCCCCTCTTCGCATCCTCCCCTTCCGCCCCCGAGCCCGCTCCTTGCACTTCCCACAGGTGAACATGCCGGTAATCCGCATGCCACCGTTCTTCATGGCCCAGCCCTGGTCGATCTCCTGGAGAACGCAGGGGGGGATGGAGTGCGCAGGGAAGGAGGCAGGAGGGAGGGCGCAGGAGGCGGGAGGGCGGGAGGGGGGAGGAGGGATATGTGATTAAGGAGGGGGAGGGAGGAGGAGGAAGAGGAGGAGGAGGAGGAGGAGGAGGAGGAGAAGAAGAAGAAGAAGAAGAAGAGGATGAGAAGAGAGGAGAGGAGAGAAGGAGGAGGACAAGGACCAGTGTATACCCAAGGCGCATCAACGATGTTGCAAACAAACTCCCTCCAAGATCCTTTATCACAGGTGCCAACAAGAACGTACCTTCACTGCAGGCAATACCTCATGGGAAGACGAACGTCTGAGACTCTCCAGCCATGCCACTATGCCATCCCTGGGACTTCAACAACGCGAAGCCAAGTTACTGTTGCGTCGTCCTGACAATCCTAAATCCGCCGACCCTGTCGGCGTCTGTGAGAGGCTTGGCTGTCCGAGTCGTCGCCTCCGTCAGTCGTCGTCCCCGTCGTTCCCTTTCCCTGCACCCCTCCTCCTCCTCAAGCTAGTCAGCGAGAGCTAAATCTAGCAATGTCGTAATCGAGTCGAAGGGAAGCCCCTTCCTTTTGATTCCTTCCCCGCGCGGGTGGGAGGGTCCTGGGGGGGGTCCTGGGGGGTCCTGGGGGGGGGGTCCCGGGGGATCGCCACCGAGATACGCTTTCCCCCCTGGGGGCCCTGGGGCCTCAGAAAGTACCAAGACAGGCCAAGAGTGCCCCATGAGGCCGCCGAGACGGTCCAAGAGGGTCCCCAATCGCCAAACGATCGGTCCAAAACGCCGTCACGCCCTCCAGACTGTCCAGGAGGCCTCCAGGACGCCTCAAGACGCTTCCGAGAGCACTCCCTAGAGGACCCCAAGAGGCCAAATTCATTGATTTGTCATTGGTTTTTGAAAGATTTGGGAGTTCTCGCCTTTGCCACTTCCCGCCGCTCCAACACGGCGCCCGAGGCCCCAAATAGTTCCCCAAGACGGCCCAAGAGGCCCTCAAAAGGGCACCAAAACAGCCCAAGATGACCCCAAGACAACCCAAAACGCCTCCAAGACGGCCCCAGGTGCCCCCAAGACGGCTGCAAGAGCGTGCCCAGACGAGGGATCCGAACGGAAATTTCGAGCCTTCGGCCCAGCGAGGCTCCCAGGAGGCCCAAAAGATTCCCCAGAGGCCCCAACAAGCCTACAAGAGGTCCCCAGGGAGCCCGAAGAGGTCCCCAAGGGGCCCCCAAGAGGCCCCAAAATTCCTCACCAAAGGCCCCCCGAGAGACTTCCGAAGAGACCACAAGAACCATCCCTGAGGACTCAGGCCCGCGTCAGCGTCGTCGTTGCCGCCGCAGCCGCCGCCGCCGCCGCCGCCATCGTCGTCGTCGTCGTCGTCGTCGTCGCCGCCGCCGCCGTCGTCGTCGTCGTCGTCGTCGTCGTCGTCGTCGTCGTCGTCGTCGTCGTCGTCGTCGTCGTCGTCGTCGTCGTCGTCGTCGTCGTCGTCGTCGTCGTCGTCGTCGTCGTGGTCGTCTCCCTTCAGGGTCGGCGGCACCGGCCGTAAGGCCTCCGCAATCGTGAAAGCACACCACTCTTGGGACTTCCACCATACGAGTCTTTGAAACTGCTGAAAAATGTCGGGTTGAATGTGCGTGGCACCAGAACGAGAACTACATTTTGAAACTGGCCCGCCTTTCATCCGTGAAACCTTCGCAAACGTTGAAGACGAATGTGCACGGCGCTAAGGCGTACAGCGAACAGCGTGCAGCGTACAGCGCGGCGCGGTGGCGAGAACCACATTTTGAAAACGACCTGCCCTCCCTCCGTAAAACGCTTGCTAACTTTTGAAACGAATGTGCGAGGCGCTAAGGCGGGAACAATAATGTGAACACGACCCGCCCTCCATTCGAAAAACTGCTGCAACCTCTTAAGACGGATGTGCGCGGAGCTGAGGCGAGAACCACATTTTGAAAATGGTCCGTCCTCAGACCGCGAAACTGCTGCAAATGTCAAGCGTCAGGAAAACATCAGGAAATCTTAGGCTGAACGCCCAGCCCGCCCGAACGATAAGTCTCGGGGCGCGGCAGGGAGGAGTTACAGTGGAGGCCCGACCACAAGAAATCTTCCACAAGAAACCCAACCCTGAGACCCCAGGACGTCCATTGATTATTTGGTGTGGGAGCGTCGCGCTTTCCACAGCAAAACCATCAAAACACAAGGCACCCAGGGCACCCTGGAGGCAAGCAAGGGGTTTCTTGGCATGGGTCTCCACTGTACTCAAAAGGAGAAGGGATGGAGGAGGAGGAGGAGGAGGAGGAGGAGGGGGAGGAGAAGGAGGCTCCAGAGGCTCCAGACGACGAGGGGCCGCGAGAACAAGGCTCCAGGCCAACAGCACGATGCTCACACGGCTCGAGGCCCAGGCTTCAAGAAAGGAGGCGGAGGGAGGAGGAAGAGGGAGGAGGATCAGTGGAGGAGGAAGGAGGGAGGAGGAGGGAGGAGAGGAGGAGAGGAGGAGAGGAGGGAGCAGGAGAGAGAGGAGGAGGAGGAGGAGGAGGAGGAGGAGGAGGAGGAGGAGGAGGAGGAGGAGGAGGAGGAGGAGAGAGGAGGAGGAGAGGAGCAGGAGAGGGGAGGAGGAGGAGGAGGAGGAGGAGGAGGAGGAGGAGGAGGAGGAGGAGGAGGAGGAGGAGGAGGAGAAGGAGGAGGAGGAGGAGGAGGAGGAGGAGGAGGAGGAGAGAGGGGTGGAGGAGGAGGGGGAGAGGAGGAGAGAGGAGGAGGGAGGGAGGAGGAGGGAGGAGGGAGGAGGAGGGAGGAGGAGGGAAGGAGGAGGGAGGAGGGCGAGGCTGGAGGAGTGGCAGAGGAGGAGAGGAGGGAGGAGGGAGGGCCTCCAGGACTCCAGCTCGGCCCCGCGCGCGCCCACGCAGGGGCACGCGGTCCAGGCAGGGAGCGTCCACAGGCGGCCGCCGGCGACGGCGACGACGACGACGACGGACAGCGATGGCCACAGCGACGACGACGACGACGACGACGACGACGACGACGACGGACAGCAGGGGCGCGGACGACAAGTGGGAGGAGGGAGGAGGAGGAGGGGAGGGAGGAGGAGGCGGGAGGCTCCGTAGCCCTGTGGGCTCGAGCCATTGCGGCTCAAGCGAACCACGTCTCGAGGTGGCTTGCAGAGAGCTAAACTCTGTTCAACATCTCGAGCCCTTCTCGAGCCTATCCAAGCCTTGCAGGTTTTGGTTTTCACTGTACATGTACAACAATGGGTGGCAGTACGCTCCTTGGATCAAGCAGGGATCTGCGGGATGGGACAAAGTTCAGGCGAAAAGGATGGCTGGGGACTGCTCTCTGGCGTCGAAGATCCGTTGTCTCGAACAACGCTGCCGCACGAAAAGGATCGCAGCTGGACGAACTGCAAGCACTGCTCGGCTTTGCTCCCTGGTGTGCAGAATCACCCTTGTGTTGGCTCTGACGGTGGATCTTGGAAATGCCATCCCCCGGGGTTGTTCCACCCGTCCCCTCTCATCCAGTCCACGCCGCGGCCCCACTTTGATTCGAAAGGTTGCGGCAAGTTCGGCAATGGAGGCATTGGCGCATCTCTGGGAGGCAAGGGTGGTGATGGCGCTCCGTCCATGTCTGTATGGACGTGGAGGCGCGTGAACCCTCCGCTCCAGACACGCGCCCCCTCTAGGGCTCCTGATCGCGCGCTGGAGAACGGAGGACCTCTGTACTGAATGAGAACTGCCGCGGATTAGCGGTATCCGTGTCTGCCAATGCGGGCTCAGCCCGCCGAAGCAGAAATCTTGAGCCAAAATGGCTACGAAGGAGGAGGAGGAGGAGGAGGAGGAGGAAGTGGAGGAGGAGGAGGAGGAGGAGGAGGAAAAGGAAGAGGAGGAGGAGGAGGAGGAGGAGGAGGAGGAGGCAGAGGAGGAGCAGCTGGAGGCCCGTTCGCGAATCACGGCCGGAGGCCCGTGCGTGGCCCGAGGGGGGGGGGGGCGCCAGGGGACGTGGTGACGGAGGAGAAAAAGGGGGGGGGGGGCAGCGAGACCCGGAGAGGCATCGTGCCCCTCGGCCGTGACGCCCCCCCCCTTTTTCCTCGAGGACAGCACAACCACCCCCAGCCCCGACCTGGGCACCCACCTCCGACCTGGTGATCCAGGGAGCCCTGGGTGGGGGTGGGGGTGGGTTTTTGGGCCCCGCGGCTCTTGCAACCCACCCCCACCCCCACCCAGGGCACCCTGGATCACCAGGTCGGAGGTGGGTGCCCTGGGGGGGGCTGGGGGGGGGGTTGTGCTGTCCTCATTCCTGGCCCGCCCCCCCTCGAGCCTCCTGCGTCGCCCGGAGGCAGGGGCAGGGCTCGGACCTCGCCACGTGCTTGACGCGTTGCAAACCCTGCCCCCGCCGCCCACCGAGCTGCCCGGATCGTGGATCGGCAGGGGCCAGGATCGGACTTCGCCGCCGACTGCGTCCCCCTTGACCTCCATCTGCTCCCCCCAGTCATCACACCCCTCCCCTGGCCGCCTCTTCGAAGACCCCGTCCGCAATCCGCGCGGCCTCAGACCCGCAGCCCGGGCACGGTGGCGGGAGGTGCCGAAGGCCATTCGACAGGCGGGCCCTCAGGAGCAACACGCCGCAGCCGCCAGTTCCCCAAGAGGCCGGCGGTGTGGCGTAAGCCCAAGAATCTGCCCCCCCAGTCATCACTCCCCTCGGGCGCCTTGTTTCGTGCGCGGCCATGACGGCCTTTGTGGGGGGGAAAAGAGGGGGGACGGGAGGGGGGTACAACGTAGCGCCACGCCCCCCCAGGACGGTGGTGCCGGACGCACTGCGGCAGCGCGTGGGTCGCACCGAGGGGCGGGAGCGTGACGCTATGGGGGGAGGGGGGGGGCATAACGCGCGTTATGATCAAGAGGATATGTTTATGGTTCGTATCACGATTAATCTTCTTATTACTGGTGGCATTAGTATTACTAGTATAACTACGACTATGACCATTAGTATCATTAG